CACTTGAACTGTTCGGGAAAGCCCTGTTAAAAATAGCGCCGATAACGTCACCTGACTAGGCAGGAAACGGTTTCCAAAGGGGCCCCCAGAGAGGGGCGTCAGGCAACTGCAACTTCTTACCGCAGTACGAAACCAAGTAATATGATTTCTAAGTCCGTATTAAAACCTATTGAAAAGTAGTTATTCATCATCATAAGTTAATTGCACACTTGCCAATTTTCAGAATTTAAATTTATTTAGCTTTAAACATTTGTGTTGCAAATTAAATTGAACATGGGATGGGGCTCATGTTTTTACAATTTATCACAGCCTTCGGCCGTCATACATTTACATATAAATGTCAACAATGATAATAGGCATAAACATAAAGTATATATATATAAATATTTATTATATAATATAAGGCTTCTGCAGTGCAATAAAGGGGTGCAATAAAATTGATATTGAACGTGTGCAATAAAGATGCAAATGAGCGCGCGACACCGTGGGAACTAGGTCGTATTCCTACGCACTACTACTACTACTATAAAAAACAGTTTTTTTCCGAAGCGAAAAAAAAGAAGTCATATTTTGTAAACTTTTATTATTTCAATTGTTATCACAATTAAAATGATCGTTAAAAGTAAAACTGTTGGCCATTTATTATTCTGATAAAATTCTGCGGACTACTTTTGTTAGCGGAACATGCTCTCAAATTAGTATATGTGATGCGTCCTTTCTCGTCGTCATTGCATATAGAGACGTTAGTATTGAAACCACTTATGTAGGTAGGTTTCTCGAATTATATAATAAATAGAATCTAACACTCGTGTTCATGTTATATTGAATTTATTGAACTCGTATATTAATTTCATATGAAATTAATATACTCGTTCNAAAAAGAGAAACGTTTGTGATTTTTTATAAAATTGTACAACTCAATATCTTTGGTAATTTTTTTCTATACCATGCGTATAAATTTATATATATACCTTTATCCCACTTTCACTGTCTCCATACGCTAACACTTAGTAAGTCATATTAGCCATCACACACACTAAACTGTATGGCAAAACCACTACGTGTACATGTAGAATATGTGTCAAATATGGGACGTGTTGAGATACTTGATAATTATATTTGTTCAATACTTTTCATAGATTAAAACATTCTTGTCAATGGACCTTTTTTTTATGTTGAGACAACTTTTCTTTAATCATTTCATTTTTATCCGAAACAGAAGTCGTAGTTATCGGCAGCACGCGTCATTTTTACGACGTAAACAAATGTTTCTTCCCCTGTTTTCAATACGTATTCCGATTCTATCTGAAGTTGAAAATTAATTCTTTATAGAGAAAAGGTTGTTACATGATCATACATTCTAAGTCAACAACATATGAAAACATGTACTGTTGAAAAATTACGATTAAAAAAAAAAAAAATGCTACGCGATCCTATTTACTAGAAGTAGGTACTCCTTCCTGATCAGTTATTTATCCTGGCCCGTCATTTTGACGTTTTTAATCTAGCTGCGATAATGTAGCTTTCTGACGACGAGAGATTTTTTTTTATATATATTGCGTCGGCGCGCCAGATTCATATTAGTACTAATTTAAATCTTGTATGTAAAAACACAAACAAAATCGTTTAATTCAGCAATATAATTAAATCATACCATTTTACTGAACCCGGTAATATCATAAGTTATGTAAATCTAAAAGCGCACGTATCTCATTTGACCTCGATCACAAGTATCGACAGAGACAGAATACGCCGTGGCTATCACAACAGTTAACCCTTAATTGGGGAGCCTCATGACAAAATCAAACTAACCAGTCACTTATCCCTTCCTTTCGCAAAACTTCCCACCTGTAATAGTGATTCCGTAGCGTACTTTTGACCATCTGGCAACTTTTCGCTTCGTAGCTGACACGGTACAACACTTTTCTTTGGCTTACTTCACACGGCCAGTCATTTTGTTTACAAAGAAATGGTGTGCAATGCGCATGCGCTGGTAGAGGGAAATCCCTGAACAAAAACGTTGGCCAGACAGGTAGAAATACCGATGATTATCTTAGATTTAATCATTTTTATAAATCTATTTCAGCCAAATCCGATGGTTATTTTCCATACGGAGTCTCACTTGTTATGTTTATGTAGTATTTGAAAAGAAAGACACAAAAATAGTTTCTTCAGCGTGATGCCCCTTTAAACAGTTTAAATGCTCAAATAAAACTATCTACATAAAGGCACTTCTTTGCATTGAATGACAGTTTCCTGGGCGTGTTCTTTTTGAACACGGCTTGTTGACGCCGTAACGGTTTTGATTGTACACCTTACTTTTGATTTGCGTTAAAGTGGCCTTCATTGAAAAAATAAAGTAGGGTACCATATTATGCAAATGTTAGTGGGTACATTTTAAATGTACTGCCACTGTATTAACTAATTCCAAATTAACATTCATACATGATATTGGAGATGTTGTCCTAGATTGAAAGTCTTTTTGGAAATGAAAATAAATACATATTTGACTCAGACTGTGAAATATAGGATACAGCCTTAAATATGTAGATAAATGAACCTTTTATATACTACACTAGCTAAAACCACGGAATTTGATTTGCTATCTAAGTCCGTGCTATAACTTTGTATACGGCGGCTGAACACCAGACTGGCGATCGCTCACACATTAATTTCATGGTGTGACAGATGTTTATTGTAGCTTCTACAAAAATATAACACTTTGATACGTATTCAATGCTAAAAACGATGTACATCGGGGTCATCTATCAAGGCAGAGATGACCAAAAGGTGGATCAGTTTATAGCTGCCGACGTTTTCGAGCTAAGAGTCAATATTATAGTATCATAGTACACACACAACTGTTCCTCAGAAATGTAAACACGTATGTTCCGACCCCCTGGCCTATCGTCGACCCCACTTCTCAAGTCACTGAATATTCTGTGTCAAGACAATAAGAAAACGTATATACTTGTCGACACGATGAAAGTATAATGCCAGCCGACCCCTATATCATCCGGATTCGGGTTGACATTTTGTGTTTTTGCATAATGTACATTATACATAAAATTACTTTATTGCACATTAAACCTTCCATCGTTGTGTGAATAATTCCTACCCCCGTTTTGTATAAAGAATTTCTATTTCTGATAATTATATATCTGGTATAATTATATTATGTTGTAAGTTTTACCTGCATTTCATTACAATTTGGTAACGATATATACATAGCTGTTTAGCAGCAGGGTGCCTGGGACACGGGGCGTGGCATAAATCTCAACCTTGTAGTGTAATTTGTTGCCTGGGATAAGATCGTTTCCGGTTGATTTATACGGAAAATTATGTCTTGTGACTTAAAATGAAAGTTATACGATTGCCTGTTAAAAACTGCAATTTTCTGCTTTAAGAATGAATCATAATCAAGCATGCATAACCACAATGCCTGCAGTTATTTTTAGTTTAGCAATGACAGGTACGCTTTGTAACTTTGTAAGTTATTTATGATAAAATACTGTTGTGTTAAAGCTACCTCGTGGTATTTATAGTTTTGTTTGTACTGGAAAACACGCCACGCATCTTAATTGCTGACTAGACTGTAGTAACTTACAACAGAAACGTTAATCTAGATCTATGGAAATCTTTACATATTTTACTCTTTTAAACCTGAACGTGATTCTGTGTATAATGTATTTTGATATAAGATGCAAGAAAATTAATTAACTCGATTAGGTTGAAAAGTAATGGGTCGTAGATATATAGGGCTCCTAATCTGTAATCCTACTCCTCGCCACAACACATTCGCGCGCATTTTCACGCACGCTAAATCCCTTCTCCCTTTCTATAGGCATTAACACATGTTCGCAACTTCCTCACCACTACGTTGGATCTGACACAGCATCAAAATAAATGTGTATATTATGTCACAATGTATGATCCTGTACAAAATTGAATTCATCTCCCTGGTGACGACGGGGTCTAAAGAGGCACTAGCTAATTTGAGAGTTTTTCCCCTCCCAGGTAACGACGGAGTCTAAAGAGGACCAAACCAATTTGAGGCAATTTAGGAGCCATTATCTATAGTCATCAGTCAAAAGTTGTATACATGTAAAAACAGCTGTACAAATAACACGAAACGCATTCACAAAAGATGGCCTGGTTACTTTGGTAGCCTGGTAACAGTCACGTGCAGTGAACATTACTGACGATCAAATAGTTTGTGAATTAGATGTCCTATGAATACAAATGTAAATGACAAGTGAAAAACACATTCTAAACTATTTCTGATAGGCCTACCGTGATTTTGACAAAATATCTGACGAGTGAAGTTACATGGTCACGAGACATACTTATAGGTTGTTTGTGGTGTTACTCTGCCTAGTTGTTTTCATAATGACAAATGCAATGTTTTAGGGAAATTATTTCACACGCTCCGTAAATACACCGAACCGGAAGTAAACCCGGACTTGAAGTGATGTCGGACAGTCCTCAGTAGTGTCTGTGGTGAGATGTACCTGGTACATTGAGTGTCAAGATGACAGATGTGTTAGCAATAATTCAACGGATACTATCCGCTTTCCTCCGAAACAGTACAGGATGTTTTACGTACGCCACTCCAGAAGGATTTTTAATTTTTTGAATCCTATAACTGGTCAATAAGTACCGAAACCCGGTATACACGCCTGATGTTCCAAACAAAAACACTCATTTCGTCTATTTAGCGGTAGAGCATCGCATCTCATGTGCCTGTGTGAAGACAAAACGCAACTTTTTATATCTTTCATATTCTCTGGAAAATTAAGTCACTTTAACCGTTGAATGTATAGTAACAATTACTTGCTTAGTATTTTGAGTTTGATAGAATGGTCATCATTGACAATGACATTTGTTGTATTCTCGTAAACAATACAGTTCATCAGGGAACTGAACTTGAAATATAAAAATATATGATTTATTTTTTATTTTATCAAACTATAATATCGGAACTAGTATGTTTTGTCTTAGATAAAGGCGAGCTCGAAGCCGGATGTTTCTACACAAACAGTGTGTATGAATATAAATAAGGCAGTCGGAATGTCTTTATAATGACTACATCACGAAGCGTCATTGGGATTCCGATCTTTGATAAAGAGCAGATGATCTGTTTGATAAGTGGGCACCTCGTCAGACAACACCGTTTCCTATAAACACGCCGAGATTACGGCCATTTATCGACTGTGAAAATGGCGCAGCCATACTGTTTTGTACGATTCCAGTGAAATGGAAGATTACTAAATATTCCAGATGGGGATTTCGAATGATAGAGTTAATTACAGATGGTGCCCCGTGGTTGGTAAAATGAGAGAGGTATCGATGGCAATAATTGACCCCACGCTAAACCGAACAGCACAGTTGGAACGATTCTCGGAAGCTTTGCCTGAATAATTTTCCGCTAACTGAATTCCTTTTATATTTGTTTGTTCATTTCCTGAAATTACTAAATATAGTCGTGTATTTGACTGGGGCTATAGATGAAAGGAAATATTTGTTACTGAAAGACCCAATAGGAGTGTGTATGGTGGACGTGCTCAGTAGGGTTGGTTCCTGGTATGCTGTGAGTGTTAACCGTATGTTAGAGGGGAAATGAAGATGACGATGCTTTAGTCGCGACCAGACAACGTTAACGGTACATGTGTAGGTGTATATATATACAATGTACGTGTTATTTGCACATGTGCGCCCTTAGACTCAGACGTAAATGTCCACTTCTTGTACTAGTATATTTGTATGAATGACGCAAAGGATGTTATGTTTTTATTTGTGTTATTGAAAACCCAGGAAATGAACAGCTAATAATATCCGGGAGAAAGTGACATTACCTTCTGTGGTGTTCCGTTGTACAGATGTGTTTCGTGATCAACAGGTTCAGGTAGATGTACAGGAACAGGTGAGTCAGTCGCACTGTCGCTGTGCATGCTTTATTATTCTGAATGTAATCGGTGAAAACATTGTTGATTGATTGGTTTTACGACAGCTTCGATTCACTACCGATTAGTTCGGTTATCCAGCAGACGAATGTATAGGTATGTGAACACACAGGGACTTCAGAATTTGTTATATTTGGTATGTTTTGACCTATAATGATGTATACAGATGTATGTTAACATAACACCTTTTAAGGGCTTCGATCAACTCTCAGTGACGGTATTCTCAACAAAACATGATAGATCTATCCGGATCTGGGAATTTGTTACAGTTCAACTATGTGTTGACATGAACGGATGTTTTTGGGGGTAATATGAGACGTTTTAGGTGTGTAGTTCAACTTTGGAATAACAATGCCACTTAAGGTCTTAGCAGAGGCGTTATATATATATATATATATTATAAAAGCAGAAAAAATATCCTTATGATAGAGTTAATTAATCGTACAAAACAGTATGGCTCCGCCATTTTCACAGTCGATGATGTGTGTATATATATATATACGTCTCTGGTCTAAGCATTCCCTAAAGTGTAACAAATTCTCAGGTCCTTGTGGATAGGTCCAAAACGAACTACACCAAATTCTCCTGTGTGTGAATACAGTTTAGGTTATCCATTGTATAAGTATATTATTGTATACGCAGGAACACACGTGTTGACAAAAACGTGTCTTTATTTTAACTGGGATATGATGTGTTGACAAGACGGAATACTAAATACGTTGACCTCTAGGAAGCGCGGTCAGGAATATAGTTTATCAGCGAGAATGTGTTTGCATAAGTTGGTAGTTAGTGTCGGGAAAGATGAGACCTGAATAATAGTATATTGAGAACATATTACGGCTACAACTCTGGTATTTATATTGTAAGTTGTAAGTTTGTATCTAAAATGTCACACATTGTCATGACAACATTGACCTACCTGTTAAATAGGATATTTGAGGGTGAAGCTGACCGAGGTGGACTTGTGATTTTCCCCTCCGGCTACGTACATATGTCGTTTGCTGTAAAATGTTTATAACCGACATCAGTGAGATATTAGATAACGTGGACGATGACAGACTCGCATGTATATGACAGATTTACTGATTTAAATGTCATTATTAAAGTTTGAGACTGGCCAGCTGTATTATACACACCGTGAATAACGAGAGGCGACCAATGTGGGTGTCCTTCAGAATCGAGACTTTTGTCTGTGTCCTTTTTGGGGACATAGACTTCAGAGAGAGCAATATTGATCTGAATGCCACAATTGCATGTAACAGAGTCTAGGAATGATTTCTCTCCCACTCATTCGGTAAAGCATAAGTCCCAGGTTCGACTCCTGGCAAAATTAAGCTTTGAACAAAATCATGGCTTTATGATTTTTTAGGGGGAGGGGATTCTGATTGTTCTTTTTTTTTCATATCTTTGCTCCCTTTTTGGCACTGCCTCCTTAAAATAATATTTCCGGTTGAGAACTGGGTGGGTAAAGTACAAATATTAATAACCGGCATCCTCTGCCCCGTTATCAAGTTAACGATACAAGCGCAATCGAAAGGACCTGTTACAGGAACAAAATAATTTTGCCCACAAAGCAATTTAACCATTACTGGGTAATATTTGTAGCTCCCTAAGACACGACCCATGAGATATTTTTTAAAAATTAAAAAGGTCCCCAGGGCCTGTGCTATGAACTATTTAGTGCCGCCTTCCAAAGGTGTACGACAGGGTTCCATTTTTTGTCCAAAAAACTATCAAAACAATGTTTTACGCTACCAAATAATATTATATTATTTAAAATAGGATCTGCTGCAAATTATGAACTCAAATATGTAACAAAACATTGCATAATAAAAAAGTTATAAAATCTTAAACTCTAAAAATGTTGGTATTTTCATACACTTTTTTGCTACATCAATTGTTTTACGGAAGTAAAACACCAACTTCCGGTTCTTGTACACCAAAAATCTTTTAATATTATTTGGTGCATTATGTTGAGATACGATAGTGAAAATTTCAGAAAATTTGAGAACCGGTAAATTTGTCATATAAATGTCAAATTGTAGCAACGTCTATTTCCAAATAAAATC